TTTTTTTTTTTTTGGGTTTTTGTCTCAACAGTTCTTGGGTGTAGCAACTGAGCTGAATTCAGAAATTCTATGGAAGATTCCACAATTTTCCTTGGATGAAAGTTTTTGCAGACGCGATGGGAAGTACTAGACTGGAAAAAAAGTTTCTGTAAGAGAAACTATGTGCCATACCACAATCGGCATATTCAGACTACGAGTTTTCTGTATGAATCTAGTCGTACACTTTTGGTAAAGTACATTCAGATAAATCTCAGTGTGAATATTGTTCCAGTTGCCACTGTGCTCTCTTCACAAGATGTTCCAGAAGCACACTCACCGTCCCTCAGTACAGCCCTCCCGTCCCTCGGTACAGCCCGCTATTTTCCCTCACGCCGCTGAAAGGACCAGCAGCTCCCACGCTACTTAGACCACCAGCTCCCACGCTACTTGTACAACTGTACACCTGTACAATACTTTGCTTGACCTCCACATCATCTTCTTACAATTTTGCTGACGATCAGAAGATGGCTTTATGAGCTGTCGGCCCATTCTCTGTACACCTGTATACTTCTCTGGCATCACCCGCCCATCATATACTCTCTGATATCAACATCTGCCGTACATTCTTTCATGTCAACATCTGCCAGACATTCTCTGATGTCAACATCAATCATCTTGTACGAAGAAGACCAATGCATTTGAACATTATTTGCATCCCATTTGGCAATCCCCACAGGACACGCCATTACCCCTATCGCGGAAAAAAAGATAAAAAGAAAAAAAAAAAAAACCCTATCGCGGAAGGCTGTTTTCCGCTCAGACATAGGTTTTCATAAAAAAAAAAGTTCAAATTTACCTTTCGAAACAACCATTTCTGGAGGACCTGGAGGAGCAATTGTTGTGATCCATTTTCAGTTCAGACCAGTTCTTGAGAACGGTAGGTCTCACCGGAAGCGAGCCCCGGAAAAAGAGAAAAAGAAAAGAGAAAAAGAAAAGAGAAAAAGAGAAAAAGACAAAAAGAGAAAAAGACAAAAAGAGAAAAAGAGAAAAAGAGAAAAAGAGAGAAAGAGAGAAAGAAAAGCGAAAAAGAGAAAAAGAAAAGCAAAAAAGAGGAAAAGAGAAAAAGAGAAAAAAGTTCAAAAAAGTTAAAACTTTCAAAAAAGAAAATAGAAAAAAGGAGTGGGGACCAGCCAGCCCACTAGCCAGCTCGCTAGCTAGCTGGCTAGCTAAGCTCTCGATTTCAATTTTCAGCGAGCTTTTTTTTTCATGGACACATGAGGATGAGAGAGACAATCGATCTTATTGTTCTTCAACCGCCCCAAGCTCATCAACAGAGGTTGCTGCTGCTGCTGCTGCTGCGAAGTACTCCTCCACAGACGGCTGAGCTGGAGGCCCAAAGAAATCCAGCAGGAAAATATTCTCAACCGCCAGCTTGTACGTGCTGAAGTTGTGAGCTTTAGGCCACCCTGCATCCCACCACCGGCAGCAAAACCCACACACAATGTTGACATTACTTCAGAATCTTTAGATCTTTCTTCAGCCGCCTTTTGTACAACCAAATTCACATTCCACTGAAAGAATGTGCGATGTTTCATAAACCGTCTTCCATCCGATAACCTAGAAGCTATTCTTTTCTTTCTTTCTTTCTTTCTTTTTTTTTTTTCAAAACAACCCCCTCCAGTGCTAGAAGCTATTCTACTACTGCTGACCGAAAAAAAAAAAAAAAAAAAAAAAAAAAAAAAAAAAACACTTGAATGGTAGGTAGCATTGACCAGAAGTAACAAGAGAGGCACACAAGAGTCAGATCTTTGCTGCATTGTACCTCGCGGCAGAAACGATTGCGCCCCCTGGCTGATCTTGGCAGGAGTTCGGGTTTCCTCTCCCTTGCCCCTGTCATCCCTTGCCAGGGGTTGGGAGCTTAGGTACTACTCCCTGCATAGAGTAGAGTAGATGGGCTTAGCCTCTTTCGATGTATAGTCATAGCCTGCCGGTTGGTGTATAGTCATGAAGTTCTTGTCGTGGTGGTGGTGGTGGGGGGAACTATTAAAAACTACATGAAATGGTGAACGGCCGCGTGGGTCAGTGGTTAGAGCACCAGTTGGAAATATGCATTGTGGTATGAGGTCGCAGGTTCAAAACTCTGCTGCCTCACACACGTCCGCCGTTAGGCGCTTTCATAGCGCCGAGCCATTTGCACATCCCCCTTGGGATGACGCATGGTACTTATTACAGGCACTGCCTGCGCACCACCCAAGGGGCTAGGTCCATGGTTGTAGTATGCTGGTAGCGGGCTCTGGGGGGAGGACTGTTTGAGTGGTTGGCCTTTAGGGGTCTGATGAGTGTTGAGCGTCTGTATGTGGGTTTCGTGTTGAGTGTGGTCCGATGATCTCTAGGTCTGTCTCGTATACTCATCATGGGCGGGGGATAGATAGAGGGGGTAGGCGTGGTAGATAGGGCTTGGATTGGGTAGAGAGATCGGTGGGAGGGGGGGATGGGTAGATAGGACTTTGTGTAGGGTCTGTGGGGCTGTTTGTGTGCGCCGCCTCGTTCGTATGGGCTGCTCTGCAGAAGAGACTCAGCGCGTTTGGGTACCACGGTCGTTTCCCGGCCTCATGGTCCACCCACGAGAGTCCATACTTACATTGAACGATCCTGCGTCCCAGGTAGACCCCGTTCTCTGCACACACCCTTGAGTAGTGGTAGTGGTTGGGTGCTACGCATATATGATTCCCACGGGCGGGCTTCGGGTTGATATCACGATGCTTGTGGGCTGAGCTGGGCTTCATCCAGGTTGGCACCTGTCTGAGTTCCCGCTGAGGGTTCAGTTGGGGCGTGAGTCTGGGAAAGGGTTTCTAGGTAAGGGTGTCATCTTAGGCAGGGAAGGGAGTGTTGTCGCATTGAATGTAGAAGGGTGGCTTCGCTACCCATAGAGTCTGCATGATGTGATACAGGTTCACGTAGCCTATATCCGGGTCGTCCTCAAGGATTCGGGGTGTCCCTATGGTAGCACCCGGGGGGTCTGTGGCTCCTCGGAAGGTGCAGGTCGGTGTAGGTCTAGGTCTAGATAGAGAGGTCTGGGTCGCATCAGTATAGGGCTTGACTTGCGACAAGATTAGGATATAACAGGTCACGAATGATACCCCCTGGAGAAAGACTCCCCCTAGGGACACAAGCCATCTCATCCCCTCACTGGTTGAGTACGACGACTGGCACCTCCTGAGGCCTAGCATCCACCCTCTACTACTTCAACATGGACCTTTTTTTAAGGGGGAAAAAAAACAAAAAACTACAGGAAATGATAGGAGTTGCTTGCGAAACGATAACGAACCACTTTAACAGTCCGCTGTACTACTCCCTGCATAGAGTAGAGCTGTGTATCTTTTTAACGCAGAACGGGGGAATTAAACTCCCGTTGAATCCCGTTAAACTCCAAAAAATCCCGTTGAATTCGCGTTAAACGCAAAAATGGGCCGCTCCCGCGCTTTTCGGAAAAACGGAATTGATGCGCGGGGTCCGGAACACGTGGCCCTCGGCAAAAAAAAAAAAAAAAAAATCCCCCCAACCCCTGAAGCACCTCCCATCCGCCCCCACATCCCCCAACCCCCAACGCCCCAGTTATGTGTGTGTAGGTGTGCTGTGTGTGCGCGTATCTGTGTATGTGTGTGCCTGCCGTGAGAGTGTGTCTGTGCATGAATATGAATGTATGCGCGTGYGTTTGTGTATGTGTGTGTTTGTAAGTGTGTGTGTGTGTGTCTGTGCTTGTAAGTGTATGTGTGTGTTTGTAAGTGTGTGTGTGTATGTGTATGTGTATGTGTGTGTTTGTGTATGTGTGTGTTTGTAAGTGTGTGTGTGTATGTGTGTGTTTGTAAGTGTGTGTGTAAGTGTAAGTGTGTCTGTGCCTGCGCGTGAGAGTGTGTCTCGCACCCTGCGCCACACCCAGCTTACAGCAGCGCAGCTCGGCTATGGCTGCCTGCTCCTTCCTGCTCGCCCGTGAGCGCGTGAGTGGCACGAGCTACAGCGCGGCAGCGCTTACCCAGCATGGAGCCAGCACCCGAATGCCCAATGTGGAGGCAGGCCCTTTACTATATCGAAGTGGCCTGCCTGTGTTCAGTCCCAGGAAGCTTCCAGTAGGCCCCGGTAGCCTGAGGCACAACACGAACAAGAACAGGCCTTGGGCCTGAGGTGGTTGCATGCCCCCAACTGCCTTAGGCCTGTGTTTGGCCTAGTACCCGTATCCAGCCCAGGGCCTGCTTTCCATACATTCACACAGGCGGCCCAGGACCTGGATTCCCTCAACCAACTGACGCCAGACTCATGCAACCTGCTACAGGCCCAATTTTGTGTGTGTGTGTGTCTTTTTTTTCCTTTTTTTAATTTGCTTTTTATGGTTTTGATTTTTTTAAAAATACACGAAGTTCCAAAAAAATAAAATAAAAAATAAATTGTTGTACATCTTTGAAAGATCTACAACCCTATATTTTTTATTTGTTTTTTTTGTTTTTGTTTTAGCCCTTAAAAAATCTGTGTGAAACCCAAAACAAAAACACTCATTTCATTTTAGTTTTTGTTTTTTCATTGTGTGTTTATGTTTTTGATTTTTTTAAAATAGATTTAAGCATCAAAAAATAAAAATAAAAATACAGAGTTGTAGTCCTCAACAAAACCTACGACCCCATATATAAAACCTACAACCCTATATATCGTCACATTTTTGGATAATTTTTAGCCCAGGAAAAAAATCATCCCGGACCCCGTTAATTCGCATCCAACTCGCGTTTGAACGGGAGTTTAACGCGAATTCAACGCGCGTTGAATTTTTCAATGCGAAACCCGCAATAAATCCAATTTTGGACACACAGGAGTAGAGTAGATAGACATAGCCTCTTTCGGTGTATAGTCATAGCCTGCCGGTCGGTGTATAAACATGAAGTTCTTGGTGGGTGTGTGCGTGTGTGTGTGTGTTGTGGAGAGAGAGGGGGGGGGGAGAGGACTATTAAAAACTACATGAAATGATAGCAGTTGCTTGCAAAACCATAACGGACCATTTTAACAATCCGCCGTTCGAGAGAATGAATAACGTCCGAATTTGCTCTGAAAGGAATGCATAAAAAATGCTCCCGTGGTTTGAGAAACAAGCTGCTGGGAGCAAAAAGTACTGCAAAAATTAGTTGAATTTAGTTCCCTTAAATCCTTCCCCTTTCTTAGAAGAAAAAAGGAGGAGACGCGAAAACACCAGGGGGAAGCAAAGTAAACTTCTCACAAATCTTGGCAGTCGAGATTTCTTCCTCCTCTCCCTTCTCCTCCTAACACACTTCTCTTCCTCACCAATCAGTTTAGGTGCATCATAACTTTTGCCTTGCGGGATCTCAGTGTGGGTGTGCAATCTTTTTTTTTGGTGGGGGGGTTGGAACGTGGGATATCAATTGAGGTGCTACTGATTGCACCACAGTTGAATCCGCACGAGGTGGAAGTCGAGGCTGGGTACAGATTCTAAGAACAAGATCAGGATATCGGTATGTGTGCCTAAACATAGTGTTTGTCTATGTACACAAAGATGCACACATAGTACAACCAAGTCACAATTGGGAAGCGACTATGCATTTTTTTTCGGGTGTATGGACTCTTTCTCTGGATTGCATTGGGCGAGCAGATCAGTCTTGGCAGGCAGATGAGTTGGCATCCTGCAGAATCTGTCGGCGCGGATTCCCGTGCGGACTATTTCAACTGAATTTGACTGCAGTTACGGCCAGATTCAGTGATCAACAACTGGAATCCATCTCTCTCTCTC